ATTAACGAGAGAGTTACCTTTCTTGAGGAGAGGGCAGTCGATCTTCCAGTTTCCTGACTTGTTGCACTTGTGGCATCTTCCTTTCGGTTTCTTTGCCACACCTTGAGGGGCCGGTCGTTGGTAAACCGGAGCATCATGTGCCTCCGCCTTTCCTGCAGACTTCTTTCTCTTCCTGCCCTTGCGAGGCCTGAAAGGTCCAGCCTGCTCGACGACTAGCACCTGAGGTGACTGAGTGAATAAGGCCTCCACCGACTGTAGCTCTGCAAGCAGTTCTGGAAGAGCCATATGCATCTTATGCATGTTGTAGTTCAACCGGAACTGATCAAAACTCTTCGGCAGAGATTGGAGCATAATATCAACCTGGGTCTCCCCGTCAATATAACCTCCAATAACCTCAAGCTCATTGAGCTGCGCCATAACCCTGAGGGCGTTCTCCCTTACGGGTGTGCCCTCAGCCATGCGCGTACTCATCAGAGCACTCAAAGCCTCTTGCCTAGCAGCCCTAGACTGATGTCCAAACAGATCCCTAAGATTGAGAAGTATATCTGCTGCAGTGTCCTTAGACTGATGCTGATGTTGAAGAACATTCGACATAGAAGCCAGAATGTAACACTTCGCCATCTCATCAGCCTTCTTCCACCGTGCATACTCCTCTTTCTCCTGCTTAGGAGCATCAGCCACCCGCACCGCTGGGCTAGCATCAGTGATAGCAAACTTATAACCCTCAGGAGTCAACACTATGTCTAAGTTCCTCTTCCAATCAATGTAATTAGGACCAGTAAGCTGATTTTCTTTTAGAATGACTGACAACGGATTGAACAACATGATGAATATCCTGAGAATCATGCACATAAATTTTACAGATTAAATCATGCACATAAATTTTAACTGTTAATATTGATATCCTCAAAACAATATTAACTTAAATCCACCGACATCTATTACACCTTGTGAGAATGCATGCTACGAGGATCGCCCAACAAACTCGTATATTGTAAGAGAAGGGCTTTTCTAAGGCCCATTAATTTCCATAAGTCAAAATCAAATTCATGACGAACGAAATTAATAGTCGGTCTCCATTTGGCCATGCAATAGAATTCAGGGACCCCGAGGGGGGTTAATAAATTTAATCGCATTCTAAGTGAATCCCATTTCTCGGTCCTAAGGTCGTCAAATTTGATTATACGTCATCCGAGGGGAAGCTCGTATGCTCTCATAAGATTTCCTCTAACCGTCTACTTTTAGAAATTTGTCCTGGTAATTTCCTACAATCAAATTTTAGCAATGTCACCCGAGGGGGAGCCCATTACCGCAGCTTAATTGATTTACCGACAAATTAGAAATGAAGGCTTTAAGAATTTTACAATTAACTTTAATTTAAAATCTCTTCTCAAACTTAGTATAATTTAATGAGGATTTTTAACTATTTATACAATTCCAAATTAATCTATGTTAATGCAATAATTAATTAACATGCATATTAATTCATGCAATTCTAAATTAATCTATGTCAATGCAATAATTAATTAACATGTACAATAAATTATGCAATCCTAAATTAATCCATGACAGTGCAATAATTAATTACATGCATAACTTATTGACACAATTCTAAATTAATCCTATGCATTACATAATTAATTAACATGCATAATTAATCTTGCAATATTAAATTTATCCCATGCAAGAACATAATTAATTAACATGAATAAATAATAATTTAATGGCATAATAAATTTAATTAAATTGGTAAATAAATCCACTATTATGGCCATTAAATATTGAGTCTCCTTAAACAAGGAAACTGTGACAGTTCTTTCCCTGTTCAACTGGAACTCCTTTAAGCAGTAGAATCCTGGTTGATCTTGTACTGCTTGATCATCAAGGCAAAAACGAACCACCAGCTGCCGCCGCCGACCACCGGTCGCCGTCTGCCAGTTCGCCGGAAAAAGCCAATATATATTTTTTTTTTTTTTTGTTCTTTGAGGCTCGTTGATCTTCTTGTGATCTCCCGGTCATCAACACACGATCACAAAATGAAAAATATAATTTACAAAATTACATAATTCGATCTTAGATCCAACGAATGGATGTACATGTTTTCTAAACAAATAATTAAATCTATCCGGTCAACCCCCGGCCGAATAATTATTACAAACATTCATCCATAAATTCCTCGACATATCTGAGGCTTTAAAAACAAATTTAAAACCATACATCACATTCAACAGCATTCATCAAACACATAATCGGCCATAATAGTGGATTAACTATTTTCCTGCAAAACCGAATTATGCAAATATAATCCAATATATGGCTGCGTTTGAACACATCTTGTCAAATAAAGCCGTAAAAATTCGAACTTTGTACAAAACGAATTAACCAAGTGCTCTGATACCACTTGTTGGGATCTGTGAGGATCTCGTTATGTACAAGTCACGAATTCAATAGCAAACGTAAACCTATGCGCAACGGATCTAAAGGTTTGACGTAGAGAACTTACGGCTTAAAATTTATGTAGATCTGTTGACCACGAACGGTTGACCACAATTGATTGACCGCAAATCACATCTTGGGTTGCTCGAACAAGATCGGATCAAAATCAGATGAAAATGAAACTTGCAGCCTGGGAGCTTCCGGCGGCGCGTGAGGGCACGTGAGGTGTCAGACGGCTGAGATCTCGGCGGCGATGGAAAGCTCTCGTCGAGACGGTCGTCTGGGTATGATGTACGTCTCAATCGGACTTCCGGTTAGTACTGTAGGTTAAAATATATTTCGTCTCGGTTTACCTACAAGTCTTCTACTGTATTACTCAATACACCCTTCTTCAACTTGTACCAGTGGAGCAACAAGAAGAAGATAAAACTCGAATGAGATCTAAAGAGAGAGAGAGGCGTGGGGCGTGTCTCGTTAGAATGAGATTGGGATTCTCTTCTCATGAGCTTAATGATGTATATATAGAGCTACAGTAGGGAGGAGATTAGGAAAAGGGCTCCTTAATTAATTAGACTAAATGTATGCCAAGCCCACTCCTCTAATTAATTAAATAATATTAATGGGCCACCAACATTATATTATTGCACTCTCTTTTCCTAGCCCAAATTACATTTGAGACTCCAATAATAATTACTCGATTCACCTCCCCACGTTTAAGATATAATGTCCATTAATTAATTCGATTACTGACAATCAAGAATTAATTAATTTATTATTTCACCGAAACTAGCGCTCGTTCATCACATTCTTATTATGCCGGAACTTAATCCACCTCCAGGGTTTAGCATAACAATCCTTCATGAACTCACTCCGGGGACATCATCAAACTAACGCACATGGTGACCGTAAATATCCTAACAGCACATCCTATATATAATAATATTACTCAAAACAGTAGGAATATTAATCCAGCGAACTGAACCTCACCCATGTGAATCAAAATAATATATATTATATATATCTGCCTGTTTAATATCTTACGGGTTAAGAGAACGCAGTAATTAATCGAGGCCTAGTTCATTTACGAGGATCAGTATAAAATTAACTTCGCCTCTCTGGGATCCTGTTCAATACATAAATGTACTAGTGCAACTAATCAGTCAAGACAAACTGTACAGTTGACACTACAACTGTTCGGATGGGGTGTTCATGTCCATCTAGGTTGTGAACAATTATTCTTGTTCGCAAGTGACTGATAGAGTGATCTTCGGTTCGCCCGATGACAACCCACCCTATCTAAGTGCAGAACAACAGAACGTAGAACTTGTTTAATCTAACATGATTCTCATTCATAAGGGGTAAATGTGTAATAACATGCAAAGCCAAGCTTTCAGTATATAACACTAACACACCCAACCAAAGCAACCAGACTGCCTCTGAAGAGCAGCAAGAAGTTAGAACTCCGGCTAATGGTAGCTCATACCGGAATGGAGAAAGAGAGATGGGATCATCGAGTAAAGGGGATAGTTTGCAAATAGAATATCCTATAACTAAGGAGGCTCAGATGCAGCACAAAAATTCTGTAGAGAAGTCAGGTTTTGCTGGAGTTAAGGATTTATCAAAAGTCATCATTGAAGAGATAGTACCTATCAATTCAGGCCAAACTCAGGACCTGGTGTTAAGTGAGAAACCAAAAGACGTGATGATGTTTGCAATGGTGGAATCTGAAGGGGCACTAGTCAAGGAAGAACCACTTAATAAGCAACTCAGAACCTGGAAAAGGAAAGCTGATAAGTCTGGCAGATTACAGAGAAAAAAGGGAACTCAGGAAGACTCCCAAGAGCAAATTGATAGGAAAAGATCAGCAGTTGATATTGTTCGAACTTTTCAAAAGCAAATAGAGACACAAGAAGAAGAAGATAGCGGGAAAAAAGCTAAGACTCGGACTCAGTTGGTGAAGGCAGCCAGCCAAAAGTGGCTCCACCCAACTCAATGATAGCCATGGTGTTGAATTGTAGAGGGCTGGGTAGGCCCTCTACAGTTCCCCAATTGCGAGAGTCATTAAAGGCTCATCACCCAAATTTTGTCTTCTTATCTGAAGTGAAAAAACAAAAAGAATTTGTGACTAAAGTTTGTAGAGGCCTTGGTGATTAGTCGGAAAAGAGTGTGTATTTTATATATTTATTAGCGTATTTTTATATGCTTAATTTTGTCGAACTTATATGTCTTTCGACTTATTTATTTGTTAGATGGATTCTTGTACTTTGATATTTTTATGATTTATTTTTAGGATATTGGAGTGTTTTCGGCGGCGACGTGACATTGGAAGAAATTTCATCCGGAGCAGTATGGGAACGCCCCGTACTGACCTAGCAGTACCCCATACCAGCCCAAGATTTAAACCCATTTATACCACATATGAAATTGGGCCCATCACTTGTGATAATAGAAGACTTATTGGGCTAGAGATTAACTAAATAAGTGCTGCCACTCAATTGAGTTATCCCAACAGCATAATATGTGGCCCAGTGAGATGAATAGGAAAATTACTTTGGCAGACATTCATGCAAGCAAGAGCAGTGAGGAGCACATTATTTGAGGGCCCACCACTTGGTTTTGAGAGGAGATGTTTTTACAGGGAACCAGATGGCACTAGAGGAGGCCTACTCCTATGTTGGGAGAGAAACACTGAAATCATCCAAATGCAAGCTACTGAATTTAGTAATCAAGTTCAATACAGACTGGAGTCTTCTAACAAAGTTGAGTGGATTATTTTTGTGTATATGAGCACTTCAAGGCAGGAAAGAGAACTTCAGTGGCTCTATTTGCAACAGGAAAGAGAACAGTGGGGCAAATGGGTTATTATGGGGGATAGGAATGACATTAGCAATGGGGCGGGAAAACTAAGAGGAGACAGAAGTTTTGAGGGTTTTAACAACTTTATCTCTTATATGGGAATGTCTCTTATCCAAATTAAAGGCTACAAATTCACATGGGGGAATAATAGAGAGGAGGAGGGATATGTTGAAGAAGTTCTTGACAAAGCATTTGGGTCTCTGAACTGGGTTGGTGCTCATCCTCAGGCCAAAGTGACAAATATTTTTAGGAGCTCTTCTGACCATAGGATGCTCCTACTTCAATCAGAGACTAATGGCCAGCAAATGACGGATAGATTTGTGTTTGACAAGCGGTGGATTCAGAGGAATGATATTACAGAGGTGATTGGCAATGCTTGGATAGAAGAAGCTTATGGAACTCCATTTTTTATCCTCAAGGAAAAAGTCAAAAAATCGAGATTGGCTTTGAGTAGATGGAACATGAGTTACAGGAATCAAAGCAAGTGGCTGATAGAAAAGTTAACTTTATCATTGGAAGAAATGAGAAAGCTAGGAGGGGGAAGAAATTGGGAAGAATAGGAGGCTATTCAAGCTGAACTAGATGCTGCCCTTGAGTCTGAGGAGAAATTATGGCAGCAGAAGTCAAGAATCATGTGGTTGAAAGAAGGGGACCGTAATACGAAGTTTTTTCATGCTATGACAGTGCACCGAAGGAAGAAAAATGCTATCACAAGGTTGGTAGATAGAGGACGAGTCTTTGATTCCACACAGGCCATTGAGGATCATGTGATCCAATTCTATAAAAATTTGTTTACCACTGAAGGATCATTTGAGGAAGAAGAGGCCCTTGGAAACATCAACCATGTCATCACGCAGAACATGAATGAAGACCTGACTAGAGCAATAGAGGAGATTGAGATTAAGAGTGCTCTTTTCCAGGTGAATCCTCTCAAAGCTCTAGGTGAGGATGGGATGACCGCCCTATGTTATCAGCATTTTTTACCATTGATAAGAGCTGACATCTGCAGAGTAGTGACCAGTTTATTTGAGACAAGGCAGATACTAAGGAATTAGAATCAAACTCTGGTGGCTTTAATCCCAAAATGCCTAAACCCTTCATTCTTGAGTCAATATAGGCCTATTAGTTTATGTGGAGTGGTTTATAAATTGATTTCTAAGACACTGGCAACAAGATTAAAAAGCTGCTTGGATGTCTGTGTGAACCAAGCTCAAGCTGCATTCATACCTAGTAGACAACTACTAGATAATGTGGTTATTGCCCAAGAGATTTTTCATTACCTGAACAAACACAGATCAAGGCCACATTGCTTTATGGCTTTGAAGCTTGACATGCTCAAAGCATACGACCGAGTGGAGTGGTAGTGTGTTAAGAAGACTATGGAGACTATGGGGTTTTTAGCAACTTTTATAAAATGGATCATGGCCTGTATAGCAACATCATCCTTCTCTTTTTTGGTGAATGGAAGGGCTGTGGGGTACATATTGCCAACAAGGAGATTCAATCTCACCATACATGTTTCTTCTTGTGCCATAGGTCTTTTATTCTCTCATTCAGCTAGCAGTAGACATAAATCAATTCAGAGGATTGAGGATAGCAAGGGGTTGCCCAACTGTCACTCACTCACGTGTTGTTTTCCGATGATTCATTGGTGTTTTGTAAGGCTGACCATGATCAAGCAAGAAGGCTGTTTTCCATATTGCAAATATACCAAATATTTTCAGGTCAGAAGGTGAATCTCACCAAATCTACACTCTTTTTCAGTAAGAACACAGGAATTCATCTTCAACAGTTCCTATGCACTATTTTTTAGGGAGTCCAGTCTCATACTTCCACAAGGTACCTAGTTTGCCACTGGGAATTGGGAAATCAAAGAAAGAAGCTTTTGACTTCATCCTCCAAGCAGTTAGGAAAAGGTTGATAAGTTGGCAAAACTCATATTTGTCCACAGTAGGAAAAGAGGTTCTGGTCAAGGCTTTGATCAATGCACTGCCTGTGTTTTCTATGAGCTGTTTCAAATTTCCAGTCAACATTTGCAATGAACTTAGTAAGATCACTGCCACATTCTGGTGGAGTAAAGGATTGAAGCAAGAGAAGGGGATACACTGGAAACAATGGAACAACATAACAGTACCAAAGGCAGATGGGGGACTGGGATTCCATGATTATAAACTGTTTAATTAGGCTTTAATTTTGAAACAATTGTGGAGAATTACCACAAATCCTGAGTGTTTGGTAAGCAAGTTACTCAAGGCAAGGTACTACCCTCAGACATCCATTTTTGAAGCAAGAAAGGTGAGCTCAGCTTCATGGTTATGGAACAATTGGGTTGAAATCATTCCCACATTTGCAAAGGGGCTGCATAGAGAAGTCAGAGATGGGAAAGAGACCAAGATTAATGATCACAACTGGGTTCCATTACTAAACCATGAATGTCCTCGACCTCTGGTACCATGGAAAGACTCACTTGAATGAGTTCATGATTTGATAAATGCAGATGGGAGAAGCTGGAATACCCAGCTTGTAAACAGTGCTTTCAATGACAGAGATAAGCTGGCTATCCTAGAAGTGGATTCTTCTAGCAGACAGATAAATGGAAATGGAATTTTGATAAACAGGAGCAGTTCAAAGTTTCAGGGTCATACAGGCATCTAATGGCTGGAAAACTTCTGAGAATGGATTAAGCAGAAAGCAGTACCACTAGTCTAAGGGATAAGCAGATCAGAGAGAGGAGTTGGAAGTTGAGGGTGAAGGGGAAATTGAAACACTTCATTTGAAAGTGTTTTAATGGTATCCTTCATGTGAGTGTGAATGTGGCTAAAAAGGGTGTTCAAATTGATGTTATTTGCAAGCAGTGTGGAGAGCAAGAAGAAACTATTGAGCATTTGTTCTTTAAATGCAGAAGAGCTAGGGAGGTATGGAAGATGGCACCAGTTGTGTGGGATGGAGTGCATCAAAGTGAGACCTCATTTCGACTATGGTGGTGGCAGGTATGTTCAATTGACTCTTTTATTATATATAAGGATCGCATACAACTGACCACCTACATGCTGTGGTGGTTATGGCGATCAAGAAACCTTTGGTTGTTTGAGAAAGTTTGGATGCCGGGAGTTGTATTGGTGCGTGGTGCATGGAAGGAATGGCAGGAATTTGCGGGAAGTCAAGATAGGGTGGATTAGTTCTTTACGAGTTGTTGGTTTCATGGGTTATACCGTGTTCTAGTTTCATAGGTTGGTAATTTGCTAGGCTGGTTTTTCTCGGTTTTTTTTAGTTTTTGTTGGTGGTTTAACATTTTTAAGTTTCGGGGGTATGTCCTGTTGGATTTTCGACATACGAATCAATCGCACGCGCAGCGGAATTTTAATATGATCCTAGATCGCGTGAATGGATTTTCGGGGGTATGTCCTGTTGGTTTACCAACAATGAAGATCCGACTATAGCTATTTGATATGATCCTAGATCGCGTGAATGATACACGAAAACTTACAGTTATTCATCTTTTGTCCTCGACTATGGTAGCCACGCAATCCAGTTTTCCGTTGCACGATCTAACGCCAATGAATCCCTTCCGGTGAAGAAGTTAGGAATCCTCAATCCAGAAAGCTAGAGAGTGTTTTATTTTACGATGTGTCTCTCATCTTCTCTCATCTAATGATTCGATCTAATCGATTAAGATTATGAATGAGATAATGAGATATTTATAATTAGGTCAAACCTAATCATATGGGCCTTAGGAAACCCTATAGCCCAATATGTAATTGGACATGATCTAATTAATAATTTAATTAAGTATAAATATAATTTAACTTAATTAAATATTTTCTATCAAATAGAAAATAATCTCATTACTCATAATAAATATTCCAATCCAATTGAATATTTAACACTCTCGATTCACTCTTAGCTGGAAAACTGATTGCATATTTTGTGACCCTATAGGCCTTCATATATTGAAATAAATCTAATTTATGATCCTTACGAAACTTCTAGACTGTGTTGAAGGACGAACTCAAAATATGAAGTACGTTTACATGGACAAGCAAACAAACCTTTCGTGTAGAACTCAATAATGATACGGTCCCTTCATTATATAGCTGCAAAAGTTCATTACTCACTTTTCACGACCCACTCGATTAAGCTTAGGACTTGAACGTGTGTCTATCCAAACAACTTAATCATTTTATCTCATCTCACTGGTTGATTTTATCAATTATATTTGAACACCATTTCAAATATAATCACGTGAATTGGCCAATGACTTTATCAACCCAGTATAGAGAAAACGAGTGTTCTCTCGAAACTATATTCGAGGAATGAATCCTATCTTGGCTCAACTACCAATTCCATGTATATCGTGACCGACCCAACACAAGTCCGTATCTACCCATAAGGGCGTAAGCTTTGGACTAGGTCTAAGTAAATCACTCAATACATGAATTGCGTATTGACCTCAAGTCAAAGGACTATTACACCATTCTGCACACTGATACTCCCATAGATACATAAACAAATGATTTTTCGATAGGGTATGGCAATACTCTCCAAAGTATCCATGTGTCTATAAAAAATGACAATTATTCATAGCAGTGAGACATACTATATTCTCCAAGAATGTGATGCAGACCATATGTTAATCTATCGCATATCATTAATATCCCTTTCTTAATGATCATCGATTGAGGTGATTTGAAAGTTATACTTTATCAATTAACATCTCACTCTGTTAATGACAGTATTAACTCAAGGGAGTAATTAATTAATAAATTACAAACAATCAAACAATTGTTTAATTAATTGCAATACCATAATTATAATTCAATATAATTATTAATGTGATCTTGTATATATATTCTCAAAAAGATTGTCTCCAGGACACATATACCAACATGTCCCTGCTTAAGAATTGTTGTTTGGTTTATGTCTTTAAACCACTCTTTGAGTGGCTCTCTCATTGTGTTAGTGTTTTATTTGGTTATGTAACCGGTTTGTACAAAACTTTGTTATATTTTGTTTAATAGAAATCTTCTATCGCTTGGAAAAAAAAAAAAAAAAAAAAAAAAAAAAAAAANGATGACGAAGATTTCAAGTCCTAATGTCAATGGCAGAATCAAGAAATATAGTGGGTATTGGATAAAAAAATATTATATAATGATGTGTGATCAAGAGTTTGTCTAGTTGGGAAAAAAAACTATTAATGATATCTGTTTTTTTCTCGTGGGACGAAAGGTTAACTTGAAAATCATTATTATATGGACTATGGTTTGGCAACGGCTTAAGCAATTGATTTTCACTAGCATCCAATGAGATTTGACGGGAATTTTTTTTTTTTTTGTACAAAGAAGGAAGTCGACGACCTATTCTAACACTTGTCGGGGGTATGACACCCCAATATTGTCATGCTCAAGCCAATCATGTAAGCCAGTAGGAGATGAAGAGACTCGATGCAGTCCAGTCGGGTAGGAGACTGCCAAATTCGCCATATGGTCCGTTGCAAAATTCGCTTCTCTGTAGACATGTTGAATTTTAACTTCCCATCCCCTCTGTAATACCTCGCAGATTTGACGGGAATTGACTACAAATAGAAATTTATGCATATTAACATATATAATTGCTAATAAAATAATTAATAAATCATCATTTTTTTTAAAGACGTTACAAAAAGACATGTTTACTTAATATGTTTATTTTTGTTCTCTTTTTACCTAAAACTTTTAACAACACATAGATATTTGATTTATGTATATATATATTTGCTTACAAAAACTTTAAAAATAAATTATTTAGATTTTCCGCCATTTTCGTTACAATCCAATCATTTTTCTTACACCAATAATCAAAACTTAATCTATAATTTTTTAACATAATGGTTAATTAAAGCGTAATAATGTTTTTAACTATTCTATTATATAAAGTTATTATTAAAACTAATCAATTATAATTCACACTATATGTAAGTTACAATAAATATAAAAGGTTGTCAAATTTTTTCTTAATACTTTATTGTTCTTAAGCTTTTTTTTTTTAATAAATTAATTGACTTTAGTGGTATAACCAAATCTCTTAAAATTTTATAAATATTAATAATGATAATAATAGTAATAATAATAATCATTTTTAAGACAATCAATATGTTAGGATCCCTCAAATTTATGAAAATTACATTATCCATTTAATTTTATGCAATCAATATATTGATGAAGTTTAATACTTTTATAATGTTTATTTTTACTAATGACAAATTTTAAAATGTAATACTATTATCTAACTTATAATTTTAATATTATACATATACATATAATTTATAATAATCTTTATCGAATGCTAATATATATATACACACATGTATATTTTATTAATAACCTACATATACATATATACTAATATAAGTGAATTGAGTAATCTGAGTGGATCAAAAGTGAAATATCATAGCAAAATATTAAAATCTCTACTCCTCATTATATTAAAACAGTTCATCAACAAGATAATCTTGGAGCTTAAATAAATAGTTACAAATAGCTTTTGATACACATTACATATACAGCGAAACCGTCCCCAAATTTGCGAAACCCTTCTTCCAAAAATCCGATCATTTCGCCTTCCTCCGCGACGGATTAGCTCGGCCATGGGTCATCTTTGACTGCTTGGCCCACTCTTGGTGCAACGCTTCTTCGATGTGGCCGTGGATTGCTCGGGGTGCGGTGGTCCGATCTGTGGTCGATGATGGGGTATCGGTGGGAGGTGTCGACTCGCACAACCGTCGTTCGGCTGACAATTGGAGGCTATTTCTTCGATTGTCGGCAGTGCTCTGGTTTGCGGTGGTTTGCCCTTCTTTTGGTTCTCCTTTGTGGCTGCTGGGCTATGGCTCTCCGGCGGGAATTTCACCTGTTTGGGTGGGATTTTGCCTTTGGACTTCGGCAATTTGTGGTGGTGTCGGGGGGTGCGGGAGCCGATGAGTGGGGCGGGGTCCCGGTTGCTGTGTCGGTCTGGTGCGGCAGTTGGGGATGAGGGCCCGGGCCACTCACGTTTTTTCCTTGGTCGGCTAGTGGTGTTAGGCGGTGGAGGATTGGGCCCTATCGAGCTTGGCTATTGGTGTTAGCGAGTGCGGTGGGGCTGGCGTGGGGTCTGGTTGGGACTCTCTCGGTCAGAGATGGGTCGATTCGGGATTGTCTCGGGGGTTGAGTTCATCTGTTGTATAGGCGTTCGTGCAATTTCGGTAGCGGTTCTCGGGCTCGAGGTTTTCTTTGTGTCGGTCAGTCACTGTTGGTTGAGTTTACTTCGGTTCGCCGGGGAAGGGCTTCGTTTTCGTTTATGTTTTGGTTTTTCTTTGTTGTGTGATTGTTGTGTTTGTGTTGGTGCAGTCTTTGTGTTTTTGGTTTGTGTTTTTGGTTTGGACCGTTGGTCTCTGTTTTGCCCGAGTGTAGTCTTTATTCTCCTGTTGGGAGTTGTTATGTCTTTTTTCGTTGTGGTTGTAGTTTAGTTTGGTGTTGTAGTGTGCTGGTCGTTCTAGCTTTGCTAGTTGGTATTTCGTCTAGGTTGCATTAGTTGTGTGCGTAACTTCCCATTTCCCGGCTTCAGGCTCGTCTGTGTACATTTTGTTTTGGCCTTTTTTATGAGTATGTTGATGCCGTTTGAAAAAAAAAGAGAGAGAGAGAGAGAACTGACAAATTCTACATTTTGATTATTCTAACTCCCAAGAAATTCCCTGACCAAAGAAGAAAGAGCAAGCAGATAGTAATAAGAAAAGAATAAATAATTTTGTAAGTATTACTTTTAGTAAAGAGCTTAGCTAAAATAAGATGAGATAGTTTTTTATTTTTCCTTTTCATTTTTAATCTTTCAGGCCACTTTACTACCTTTAACTGACCTTGACCACATCACGACACAAGCAGCAGCTAGTTAGGTTGCCTTAATCTCATTGTTAATGTCACGAGGTTATTGTCACTATAGTCATGCAATTAATCAAAATTTTCTGGAATTAGCTGTTCAAAAGTTGAGATGTGGCCTAACTTTGACCATTAACTTGAGTGAATTAAATAAGATTTCCTCACGATGAAGTTAAAATAACCAAAATGGTCATGTATTTAACATTTAAAATTTTGAAAGAGTACAAAATTTGCATTTAAAAAAAAAATGTAAGTTCATATTAATTTAAGGAAGTCATGAATAACTAAAAACGAACTTTCAGGAGAACATCTCATTTTTTCTCATAACTCCGCCATTAAATAAGTGTTTGACCAACAAGTACAAATATGAATTACTTGTCTAGACTCCATCTAACTATAACTTAATTGGTATTGTACCTACCTAACTATTCTTCTGGCCACGACGTGGACTTAAACTGCATGTATGGGTCTCTCCAAGTAGTATTTATGAAGATGTTCATCCCAAGCACCAAGTAGAAAACAAGCAAATATCTCGAATTAAGGCCGTGAGCTTGGGTGGTCGCTTGTTTCGGTACAACCCTTTTGGGGTGGGCAAGTGGTCGAAGAAAAATTCCACCATGATTAAGACCGTTGGGCTGGGTGGTCCCTTGCTGGTTCAATTATATGTTCTTATTTTTAAAATATTTGCTATTTTGATTTATATCATTAATGTGGGTTTATTTCACCTTTATTAAATTACACATTTTCCTCATTTACTAAAATGCAATACATTTAAAGTTATAAAATTACAAATAAGTCCTAGTGAGTTATCAAATTTTCCAAACAAGGTCCCTATCCATAAAATTGTTCCTCGACATCTTAACTCGCAGCTCGTCAGCGTCGGACGGCCAGAGACAGCGGCTATGATGGGCTGAGATGTCATCCTTGCCGGTTAGTGTCGAAGTCGTTGAAATTTCTCGACTGGAACATTGCGGCCGGACTTAACGCAAAAAGCTGCCTACGAGATAAAGTTACCATGGCCAGAGCTACATTCTAGCCCGAGCATTCAGATGTGCACGACGACTGAAGCCGACCGACGATTTTTCAGTAATACAGACGACTTGGATTATTTTCTCTGGTTGATTCTCCGCCGGAATTAAGGAATTTCAACCTTGGCTGGCGAGTCTCTGGCGGCAGATAATCGTGCGTGAAGACGATGAAAAGAGGTGGTTGCAGTGGGCGGTGGGAGGCGGGAGGCGGACGACTGCGGTGGGAGGCGGAATTACAGAATTTCAAACTTGGACGACGAGTCTCCGGCGGCAGCTAATCGTGCGTGAAGACAAAAGCAAGAGGTGGTTGCAGAGGACGGTGGGAGGCGGATGTCTGCGGCCGGAGGAGGGGATGTACATGACGGCCGCTGTGTGTGTCTGTTATGTGTTAATGTGTGTTTTTGGTGTGATTGTTAGAGAGAAAAAAGAGAGTAAATGTGGTGGGTAGGTTATAGTGGGACCTAAGATTTACCAACTGTGACAATGTAATCAAAGGACTCCTTTTTGGATTTCCTTATCCCAGGGGTAATCCCAAATACTTGGTGGAGTAATGAACTTGAATTCCAGGCAACAAGAAGCAACATCTATGCTGTAACTCCACTGGTGAGTTCTTACTGCAGAAGATGGTAGATTTACCCATGCTAACCTACTGATCAGTGAATTTCTTAAAAGCCTGTAGAATACCAAGCAATGTCCTGGTTCGGTTTTTATATGCTATGTAAAAAACCAGTGTATCATCCGCAAACATCAAGTGGGTGAGCAGAGGACCACCCCTTGACTTTCTAAGACCTTTGAAGTTACCTCTCTCCATATAGTTGGAAACTCAAGATGATCGGAAAGGTTAAACATTTTTTATGGAAATGCTATAATGGGTCACTTCCTGTGAGCATGAATTTGGGTCTAGAGGGATTCAAATGGACATAACTTGCAGACAGTGTGGAGACGACCAAGAGTCTATAGAACATATGCTTTTTACATTAGATGTTTGTTAAAATGGTGTGCAAGTTGGCACCTCTTAGCTGGGGTGGACCAAAAGGTAGAGAGTCTTTCAAATCATGGTGGTGGCAAATATGTCAACTGCACAGTAGTGAGACATCCAAAGCCCGAATACAACTCTCGACGTACATCTTTTGGTGGCTGTGGAAGTCTCGAAATCTGTAGGTTTTTTAAGCGATTAGACGACCTCCCCATGTCCTTATCAAAGTAGCTACCGAGCAATGTCAAGCTTTCTTGGAGCAGGGACGGTGACATGTTGTGTGAGTTTTATTACTTATATTAGCTAGTGTTTATACTATTTATAGTTGTTGTGTTGTGATGATAAGGGTCAAAGGTTCGGTTGTGTGTGACTGCTTTGGCCGGGTGCTTGATGAGGGCGGTTTTGCTGTTTTCTTTCTTTTTCTTTTTTTATTGCGGTCTTATCTCTAGCCCACGTGTGTGTGGTGCTCCCATTCCCCGGCTTTGTGGGTTGTTTGTAAACGTTTGTTTCTTATTTGTTCAACAAGCATATCTATCGTTCGAAGAAAAAAGGTTATGGTGAGACCCATTGGTGTGTGTAATGTCTAATTTATCTCTACTTAGTGGTCAAATATGTACATTTGACCACAATGTGTATGTTAAATTACTATATTGTCATTAATGATTGACCAAATTTTGACGTAATCCTAACTATTGATATAATGTATATAATGATCCAGATTTATTCTCAATTCTTTCATTATTTTCCTTTCTCATTTGATTCCAATTATATATCTATATATATATAGATCATGGAGTTATTACAATTGTCTACCATTTCAAAAAATAATATAATAATAATAACAAAATCAGGGTAGTTGTATTATGTGAAAAATTATGATTAATCCACCGTTAATTTTAATTTATGAGCATACCTATCCCCAGCCTGTATCGGTCAGCCTCAATTTACTCTCCGCACACACTAACTCACAAGTCGCACTGAGTGTACACCTACTCTCTCTCTCTCTCTCTCTCTCTCTCTCTCTCA